GTGGTAAACGATTCTCGACCGTAGGTAAGTATGGGGATAAAGATCGCACCAAGGCTCTTCCGGATGTCATTAGTAGGGACCATTGTGACTTTATGCAGGTACCTTTCTGGTGTACTTTTTTATGCAGGTACCTTCCTGGTGTACATCGAAGAGAGGAGGTTGTTATTGATGCTTCTGTTCGACGCCAGAGAGGAAATATTGCCTTCACGAAAGCAGTTTTAAAAAAGAAGATGATTCAGTTGTTGCCACTGGCAACCACATTAAAGCGTTACCGGTTAAAACTTGATGTTCATGATTTAGCACCTAAGAATGACGTCATTCTTAAAATTTAGAATTATCCGAATTAGTACTGGAATGAATCCGTTCAACGATTTTGATTTGCATATATTCGGTGAGTTGCTGTAGGCCTGCAGTAGGAATATCTCATTGTAAAGCGTGCTTGCTTAAAAGTTTCCTGCCGTTTAGGGTTCAGCAAAAGAAAAAGGCTCTCGACTGTTTTGAGTAGTTTTAAGGAAGTTGTGTTTTGTCTGTTTGCAACTTAATAAAATCTGTTCAGAACATAAATCAATAGATTTTTGTTTTTTGCGAGCGAATCTTGAGTTGCTTGTTTACCGATAGTTTTAGTCAAGCTGTGGTAAACACAACACAGAGATATCTTTAATCGCTCTTCGATTCTTGCCCTACTGACATCATTAGAGTTATGAACATTGCTTACTTTGGGGTGAATCTTGAAAATTAATTTCGATATTTTGAACATTAATGTTCGGTGCACGCGAGCGAAATTCACACTGTACAATAATTGTTTCAGGCTTATTTATTTCAGTGTTTCGGCTTTTGGCAGGGAAGATAATTTTAACTTTTCACAAGCACAAGTACAGTTAAGATCACCAGAGTTCAAGAAAATTACTAATGACAAAGTAACAATAAGAAATGCACTACGCAAATGGAAATACTTACTACCGAAGGACTCAACATCGGTTTCGAAGAGAAAGGCGCAGGGTCAAAAACTGGAGAATGGGCAAATTGGAACAAACTGTATTTCCAAGTGGAATTAGCAGTTGGTAGAAATTTATTCTCGTTTTGTAATCGTAATCTGATGTTGATAGCGCTTCAGAATCAGAATTTCCAAGATTTATAAAGTCTAATTAGGAAGTTGTTAACAGTGCGCAGCAGAAGTTACCTGGGTTGTTGTAATTGTTGCACATTTTTTACCTTTTGAGCACAACAACTGGGACTCTGATATGAAGTCAGGGCAACTACTGTCACATTTATGCATGCTAAATTCTTTGCTGTTGGAATTTTGCTGGCACTTTGAAGAACAATCTGGATAGATGGTTGTTTGTGATGTTATTCCCATGTTCTTTATTTGTATTTATGGAATACTGTGGTTACACAGTATAAATCCCATGTCTGTTTTTTGGAGTTTATTTATTATTTTTTTAAAACAATACTGGACTTGTCTGAGTTAAGGAGTTCGATATTTGATATCAAATGGCAGAAAACTCCGTCATGGCCGGTCCCAAGCCCGGATGATAAAGGAGGAGGGTTGGAGAACGTGGCAAGTTTCCGTAAAATTCAGCCACCTGCCACTCATGGTATTAACGCCATCGAAAATTGTACCGGGTCGGACGTCGCCCGGGTTACCAATGGCCGCGCATGCTGTTGGGGGACTGAGGCAGACTGCGAAAAGTCGGCGATCAGAACCTGCTCATTGCCTTTTACCAGCCGGGGATGGGGTGGCAGCACAACGACGGCTGATGAAGACCGACGCAACGACGACGAAGATACCAGTTAGCAACGGAGTCGCTACCCGTTCTGAACGGAGGAGG